TTTTGAATATGGATATTTTTCTTACAAAAACGCATCGATTCGCTACAGAAGGCCTTTGTTCACCCCCCGGAGCCGTGTGAGGCACTTTTTATTATGGATGGATGTGCTTTATTTCACTTCTTTTGGACTGATGAACTGCAACACCTGCTGACTGCCATTAAACATCTTGGAAGATCAAAGACAATTTTTAATATAACTCCGATTGGATTCATCTGAAAGAAGAAAGTCATATACACCTAGGATGCCTTGAGGGTGAGTAATTCATGGGCTAATTTTCAATTTTGGGTGAACTAACCCTTTAATTAATCCTTTGTAATATATGTTGAGTTTTCTCTCATTAAATCTTACGATTTCCTATTAATTCAACAGAACATATGGGAATACTAGAGAAAACCATCATGGAGGTGCAGTGCCTTCAATTTTATGACGTCATGAGTAATCCAGTTTTCTATTATGGATCAGTGGTGTCAACATATTGTTTGTCTTTACAATCTAATGCCTTAAATCCAAATTTATAAATAAAAAAAAGAAGCTTTACAATTTTGTATACGTTTACAATTCCAAACTGCATTTCCAAAAATACTTTGTCTATATTATGTTTATATTTAAACTACAACATTGCCTCAAGTACCTTATTGTTTCTACATAATAAAAATTTAGGACACACATTTTTATTATCTTTTTAAGCAAACACTTTAAATGACATCCTTCCACCGTAAAATATACATGACACAACAAAATGTTGCAATTCAACAAAAATCACTATCACCTGAGTGCTGAGCAACAATATGATAAACAGGTGTTTTTCACACTATAGCTATTACTATATAGTGGATTTCAGCATTACTGAACACTGTACTGAGCAATAAGAAGCCAAGACTAGAACTACCCATGTAAAAAGGACAGAGTATACACAGATCTGAAAACAGAATGTACCTGTACATGTGTTATTGATGCTGATGGTGAGACTTGAGTTTGTTGCAGTGAATCCATCCAGACATGAGCAATTGTAACTTCCAATTTCATTTGTGCAGTTGGCATCTGGACCACATACAGATGGACTGAACAGACATTCATCTATATCTACGAAAAAAATTATTTGAAAAAGTAATTACTTAAAGTTATGAAATACATCTATACAAGGAGTATATAAATTAAGTTGAAATGTCAACATTTACAATAACAGTAATAATAATAATAATCTGGATCCTGAAATGTTATATTTGTAATGAGAATCTTTAAAAATCACCAAAGTAATGATTAATGAGTAATGATTAGTGACGAAATTATGCAATAACCAAAAGTTGAAAATGACTTGCAAACTGTAATGCAGAATATCTTATTAAAAAAAACTGACCAGTGCATGGGTTGCCTTTACTAATAGCTTTATTTTCATCTGAGACATTATATCCTTCCCAACAAAAGCATGAGAAGCTTCCTTACATTATATCCACTCATGCACGAGCAATTGTAACTCCCAACAGTGTTGTTGCAGATTGAGTTTGGACCACAGATGTCTGATATCTCAACACATTCATCCACATCTATATTAAAAGAAAATTACAGGGAAGAGTTTGGGTCACTCATACGTAAGTGAAGATCAACAATTTTTTTTTTACATTTTAAAAATAGAAAGAAAGAAAAAAACACGGAGTAAAAATCACATCAATAAACTTTTTGCCAGTTATTCAAGGTTACAGGGAAAAGAACAGTTTGGGTCACTCATACATATGTGAAGGCCAACTCATTCTTTGGCATCTTTACAATAGAATGCTTCATTTACAAAAATGAGATCCAAAGTAAAAAAAACACATTGATAATTGCTATCTAATTATTCAAGGTAAAAGTAAACACAAATCTTAACCAATTTGGAGACAAATTTGATGTTTAACCTACAAATATAAACACCTAAAACAAGAAATACATCCAATAGGGTCTGGCTGCAGACATGCACTTGCATTTTCAGACTTGCACTCTCAGACTTGCACTCTCAGACACCTGCACTTCCGCGAGTGACGTCACTTGCGGTCTTTTTTTATTTTATTTAATTGATTAATTATTTTTTTTATTGAATCTCTCAACATTTTACACAAGTAGCCAGGTGGTGAAGACAAGAAAAAAAGAAACTAAATCACAAAGTCACTTGCAATCGCCGCTTGCACTCTCAGCTACTTGCAATCCACACGAATCGTGCGTGTTGCCAATGGAGACAAGACGCTGTGGTGGTTAAATGATTAAAACTAATTTAGTACTATAACATACAGGATCCTGCAAGTCATCTGTAGGAGAAAAAGACAAGACCCGCAAATCCGTGGCCACAGAACAGCAGAATATGAATGCAATGCGCAAAGTCTCTCATTAAGCGCTTTTAAACCTCCCGTAGAAAACCATAAACACCATAAACATTATGGCTTAATGTATTAAGATAGTACTATTAAAAGATCAAATTAAGTTTATTAATATAATTAATATAATGAGTGTTTTCCTCCCATACCGCAAAAGGTGGCATAATGTGGCATAACGGTCTAAGATTATAAAGACCTCATATGCTCCTCTTCATTATTAAAACACAATTAATATGTACAGATAAGCAGGTGAGACCAGAATAGAGTTGGTCCATTTAATATCACTTAATGAATTTCTTAATGCGTGTTCATATGGTCTGTGTAGTTTGCATCAACAATAAGAAATACTGAATTTGGTCTTTATCATCTTAGTCCGTTATGGCACATTAAGCGTTTTGCTGTAGGCGTATGGGAGGAAAAGTATAAGTTTGCTCGTTGTGTTCATGAGCATATGCTTGCCTTGTAGTAGCCTAGTACATTAAATGAATAAACTATATATCGAATTTGATCTTTTAATAGCACTATCTTAACACATTAAGCCATATTAAGTGTATGGTTTTCTACGGAGGTTTAAAAGCACTTAATGAGAGACTTTGAGCAATTGCATTCATATTCTGCTGTTCTGTGGCCACGGATTTGCGGGTCTTGTCTTTTTCTCCTACAGATGACTTGCAGGATCCTGTATGTTATAGTACTAAATTAGTTTTAATCATTTAACCACCACAGCGTCTTGTCTCCATTGGCAACACGCACGATTTGTGT